ACATCCGGCAGTGCTCGGGGTCTATTCCTGGCTCTGTATTTGGGGATGGAACTGGAGTTGGCTGCTACAAGCAAGGCTTCACCCCTGTACTCTCTCTTCAGCGCATACTTCATTCTGGGTTCCCGGCTTGGGAGTGTGTTTGCAGACATAAAGGAGCATGGGAACTGTCCTGAGAGCTCAGGAAGGCAGATCTCAGCCCCTCTGCCCCAGAGTTTAACAATAGGTCTCCCGTGGGGCACGGAGAACCACCGTGTGATGTCACTCGCACCCCCGGAGCTGCACTATCAGACTTTTGTTGACCACAAACCATGTTCCGAAGTTTTACTCAGTGACACATGGAGTTACCTCAGAGCCACGCCGCATGCAGCAGAACCCCGCCGAGTGCTGCCGTTTGCGGCTCAGCCCCACTTCCTGCGCTCCTGGGCCCACACCCACTGGGTCACTGGGTCTCCACGCTGGCGGCTCATCAGACTCATCTGGGGAGCTTGAGGGCTTCCAGAGCCAGGCCCCTCCCCAACCACCATTGAGCAGAATACCCCGTGGGTGGGTTCTGAACTGCCCTCTTGGCTTAGGAACTGCGATGCCAGCACGAGGCCAGGGTCTATGCTGACCCCAGAGTGGACATGCGAACTGGGGGTGCCCAGACCAGTGCAGCAGCAGCAGCAGCAGCAGCAGCTGAGAACTTGTTAGAAATGGTGGTACTGGGGCTGGAGCAATAGCACAGCAGGTAGGGCATTTGCTTTGTATGCAGTTGACCCGGGTTCGATTCCCAGCATCCCATATGGTCCCCCGAGCACCACCAGGAGTGATTCCTGAGTGCAGAGCCAGGAGTAACCCTTGTGCATTGCTGGGTGTGACCCAGAAAAAAAAAAAGAAATGGTAGTACTGGAGCCAGGCCTCACACCCACCAAATTCAAAAGCTGGACCTGGAGCCAGGTGGTTCTCAACCAACCCTCTGGGTTGCCCTGATGCCACCAGGACTGAAGGCGCAGCAGGCAGTGCCGACCGAATGGGACTGCACTCGACTGAATGTGACTGGACATGACTGAAAAATGACAGAGCACGACTGAAGATGACTGAATGTGACTGAACATGACTGTGTCCGAATATGACTGAACACAACTGAATGTGACTGAACATGACGGAAGCAACTGAACACAACTGAACACGACCCAACATGACTGAACACAACAGCACAGCTGAACATGACTGAATGCAACTGAATGCGATTGAACACGACTGAACATGTCTGAACAGGACTGAGCGCGACTGGACATGACTGAATGCAATTGAATGCGACAATGCGACTGAACACGACTAAAAACTACTAAAAGCAAGTGAACATGACTGAATGGCATTGAATGTGACTAAAAGCGACCGAACGTGACTGAATGTAATTGAAACCTGACTGAACGTGATTGAACGTGACAGAATGCGACTGAATGCGAGTGAATGTGACGGCTTTCTTGGCCTCCAAAGCCTGACAAACGCCATCCAGAAGGACTCCTCACTCAGAGCAGAGGCCTTGGCCTTTCCTGCATCCTTGGCAGCCTCTTCTCTTTCTGACACCCAGAGTCACACCGAGATTCTTCCTCCTCTGGTGACTCGGGGGGACAAGCCTGAGCATCCGATCACCAGGTGGCTCCTGGTGGCTCCTCAGGAGCCCCATGAGCTCTGCTCTGCTACCGGCTGTGTTCTTTGGCCATTTTGGGAAAGGGTCAGAGCGGCAGGATGGGTGGCCACTGTTCTCGGGAGTGTGTGGTGGAGCCAGAGCACTTCCTGTGGCTTCTGAGCCTCACTGGGCCCCTCTGTAGCACCCCTGCCCCATTCTGCTCCCCTGCTGCGGTTTCCTGTTTGCAGCCCGTGGCACCTGGCCCCCCACACCTCTTTCCTCAGCCAGCCTATGGATGTGTGTATGAGGGTGAAAGACGGACTCCACCTGGGAAATAACAGGAGAGGGTGGGGAGAGGATCCCCCTAAAGCAGGGGAGGGGCCTAAAAGACACACTGGAGGGTCCCCCCACAAAGGAGCCCACCAACATCTGTTCTCCCACTCCTCAGCATCTCCCAGCCCACCCTGGGCCTGCCGTCCTCCCCGTGGGCTTCTCTCAGGTGTCTGAAGTCAGAGGAGCCCCAGCTTGGCACTTCTTGAGAGATTATTCCTATTCTCTAGGCCTCAGTCTCTCATGTGGGGACAACTGCGGTGTCAGCCCTGCATGGCTGCCTGAAGCAGGTGGACTGGCTGACAGAAATGCCCTCCTGGGGGCTAGAGTGATAGCACAGTGGGTAGGGTGTTTGCCTTGCATGCGGCTGACCCACGTTCGATTCCCAGCATCCCATATGGTCCCCAAGCACCACCACGAGTAATTCCTAAGTGCAGAGCCAGGAGTAACCCAAGTATCACTGGGTGTGACTGAAAAAGAAAAAAAAAAAAGAAATATCCCTCCTGTCCACCTGTCCAGGCCAAGGGGCTCAGGGAGGAAGGGATCTCGGAGGTAACTACCCAGTACCCAACACTTCTGGAGGCCTCTGCTTCCCCTGGGAGAATGGCGGGAGAGGAGGACCCGAGATGACTTTGTAGGGGGTTTCTGCTGCTATCGGGCTGGCAACTCAAACACAGAAGCCTTATCACAAGTCTACTTCTTGACTCAGAGAAGAGGATCATGGTGTGTGTGTGGGGGGGAGGGGGTGGAGGAGGCATTATGGGCCAAGGCTTATCTGGGTTCAATTCCTGGCACCCCTTACGGTCCCCTCAAGCCCTGCCAGGAAAAATACCTGAACAAAGAGCAAGGACTAATCCCTAAGCACCATTGGGTGCCCAATTTGACCAAGTTAGAGTCTTTGGGTGTGGTGAATCATAGACACATGCAGAGGTATTCAACTCTACTTTGAAATTGTCATGAGAATCAATTGATTGACAAGGGGTTTGGGGACAAAGGAGTAGTAAGTGGCTAGCCTGGGCTCAATCCCCAGCATCCCATATGGTCTCGAATCCTGCCCAAAGCAACCTCTGAGCACAGAGCTAGAAGTCAGCCCTGAGCACTGCCAGGTATGGTCCAAAAAAAACCCAAAATTAAAGAAAAGAAACCCCAAAAATAAATTAAAAAGGGGTGCTGGAGATCATAGCATACTGAGTGTTTGCTTTGCATGTGGAAGAGCCTGGCATTCCATGGGCCCCAGAGCAAATGCTGAGCACAGAGTTGGGAGTAGTCCTTGAAATATTGTCAGTCGTGGCCCTAAAAATCCAAGGGGAAACCAAAACAAAGTGGGAAGAACGCCTGCCTTGCCCCCTCCCCCCCTCCCCATGCATGAGGCCGGGAGTCGGCTCCCCAGCATGACCTCATGTTGCTGAATGCAATCCCTTGTGTGCATAGTGAGACCCAATAGCACAACTCAGGGACCCACCCTGAACGTTAAAGCTGGGCATCGGACGAGCCTCACCCAAGAGGGTCTGAGTCTCACCCAAGACGGGATGAACCTCACCCGAGAGCGGACCGGCAGGAAAACCCAGGTATGTGGGAACCCGCGACTGAGATCTCCAAGCCCGCTTGGATTAGAACTGGGCCTCCTCCCCGCAGCTCCCCGGTTTTCCGGTAGCTTGGAAGCCAGACCCACAAACTGCCCTTGGCGCCACGTAATCTCATCAACAACCAAGACCCAGAGACTCTAAACTAAAGCTCCCGGAAGAGAGAGCGCAGAATTTCCTGTACACTATATTCTATCCATAACAAGCAATACAAAGCAAATCTTCTAGCATTGCCTTTTTGGCAGGTTTGAGTAGTGGTGGGACTGGTGTCGAAATATCGAAAGTAACCAAAGTACCAGAGTAGAGAAAGAGTATGGGGGAAATTGTCTGCCACACAGGTAGGGGAAGGGTTGGAATGGGGCGGGGGGAGGGGGGGGAGAAAGGGGAAGTGGGGGGGAGGGGCAGGGATTGGGGGGGAGGGGCAGGGATTGATACTGGGGATTTTGGTGGTGGAAAATGTGCTCTGGTGAAGGGATGGATGTTTGATGATTGCATGACCAGAGCTCAAACACAAAAGCTTTGTAACTGTATCTCATGGTGAATCAATAAGAAGGGGAAAATAATAATAATAAATAATAAAATTAACATTCTGAATTAAAAAAAAATGTAATGTGGAGTATATGCCCAATTCAGTCAGCTTAATCAATGGCTGAATAAATAGCAGTACTCCTACATTAAAAAAAAATAAAAAGCTGGGCGTAACCCACAGGCTTTTTGTATGATAAAATGTAACAACAACAACAACAACAAAAAATCAGTCTTTGGGTGTTTTTATCAGTGAGAGAAAGGAAAAATGAAAGAAACTTTTTCAGATTTATCTAAGCTAGAAGGAGAAATAAAAGGATCCGGAAAACCGTTCCAGCTCCGAGAAATCCAGTGCTGTGATTTTCCAAGAGCCTGATTTCAGTACCGCCAAACAGAGCAGCTGTCCCCTTTAGGTCTGAGAGACAGCACCCCACCCCCCCACATGCAGGGAATCACTTGCGGGCAGCCTCAGAGACCCCGAGTGAGCTGCCTTTCTTTTTTTTTTTTCGGTTTTTGGGTCACACCCAGCGATGCACAGGGGTTACTCCTGGCTCTGCACTCAGGAATCACCCCTGGCGGTGCTCAGGGGACCATATGGGATGCTGGGAATCGAACCTGGGTCGGCTGTGTGCAAGGCAAAGGTCCTACCCTCTGTGCTATCTCTCCAGCCCCTGAGCTGCCTTTCTGAGGGAGAACGCCCCGCTTCCTGCTGGCAGGGGAAGGGCCAGCCCCCTGGGGCCTTCCTGCTGTTCACACTCCAGCCCACACGCCCCAGGGACCCCCACCGGGCCCCTCCAGGCCTCTCCTCCGCGGGGCCCCCAGTGTGGTTCTTGAGTCAGGGCCTGGCGCCTGCCCACAGAGAGGCCTGGACTCTCGGGGGAATGGGTCGGTGGTGTCCAGGCATCAGAGAGAGTCCGCACCCCACCTGCAAGGCCCAGCTCAACACCCACCTCTCCGGGTCTGACTTTCTCGGACGATGAAGGACCCGCCTTGGTTCCCCGGCAGCAGCAGCAGCTCCTCGGCTTTCTCCCGGCTCAGGCCTTCATACAGCCACCTGGGGAGCAGCAGAGAAGGGGTTGGGGGTCGGCCGTTCAGATGGAGGGTTGACCACGACCCCGGTGGAACCCTCTCTCCCAGCTCTGGGGCCCCCACAAGGCCTGCTTCCTCTGGGCCTCTGAGTTCCATCTGTACCAGGAGGAGCCGGTCTCAGGGTCTCGGGGACCCCCTCGGCTTTACTCTCTTGCTCCTGGGTCCGGGGTCTCAGGGGCTCCGTCTTGGAGGCCTCATTTCCCAGTGGCCAATGCGGGTGCGGGTGGGGTTTGGGTGAGCCCCTCTCTCCTGGCACTGCCCTTACTCCATCGCCTTGCCTGGCTGAGAGGCTGGGGATAGCGCCCCAAACTGGAGTGCATGATTGCTCACAGCGGCCCTGGGTTCAATCCCTTGCATCAGAGTCCTGGAAGCACTGTTGGGAGTGGCCCCTCACCAAAGGAATTGGATAGGGAAATCTATTTCTAGTTGCAGTAAATATTTATTTTGAGATTTGACTTGGGGGGTGGGGGTACTCCATACCCAGTGATGCTCGGGGCTTACTTCTGGCTCTTCCCTCCAGGAATCACTCCTGGCAGGGCTCAAGGGACCATAAGGGATGCCAGGATGGAACTCAGGTGCAAGGCAAGTGCCCTACCCCCCGGATTATTGCTCCAGCCTGAGCATTTTGTTTTTACTGGGGCATCCCTGTGGTGTCAGCCCCAGGATGTGCCTGATAATAAGCCACCCAGAGGTGCAGGCCTGACACCTGGGACTCAGACCTGGCCACACAATGGTCCAGGCCACCAGGGCCACACCCAGTGGTGCTCTGGGTGGGGGGGTGTACAGGGGGGTCAAACTTCAGGAGTGCAAGCATGAACTCTAGTCCTTTCAGTTCTTTATCTGTTCGGTCCAGGCTGGGGGGCTATTATGCCCCACGGTGCTTGGGGATCATGTGAAAGGGTCTAGTTCCCACGTGCAAAACAAACAGAAGTTCCAGCCCTATATGACACTTTGTGCCATCTCCCTGCCTTCCCTTCTCCCATATGAGCATGTGTGTGTCTGTGTGTATGTATCTCTGTCTGTGTGTCTATGTGTGTCTGTGTGTCTGTGTGTGCGTCTGTCTGTGTGTGTGTCTGTGTATCTGTGTGTGTCTGTGTGTGTGTCTGTATTTCTGTGTGTGTGTCTGTGTGTGTGTCTGTATTTCTGTGAGTGTGTGTCTGTGTGTGTGTGCTGGAGACAGAAGCCAGGGCCTCAGGCAGCAAAGCAAAATCCTTCGCTGGTGAGCCATGTCCCCAGCAACTATATGAGTATTTTATTCTATATTTTGGATTTTGGTTCAGATCTGGGACTTACTCCTGGCAGGGCTGAAGAAGCCATATGCATGGGGCCTGAGTGATAGTGCAGCGGGTAGGGCATTTGCCTTGCACACTGCTAACCGGGTTCAATTCCTGGCATCCCATATGGTCCCCTGAGGACCGCCAGGAGTAACCCCTGAACATTGCCAGGTGTGACATTCCCCCCCCACCAAAAAAAAAAAAAGAGAGAGAATTAGAAACCATATAGTGTCAGGAGTGCGTCTTAGCTGCTGTACTATTTTTCTGGCCCCTTCTGTGTAAACATTTCAAAGTTTCACCCTGTGGTTAAAGGCCTGTGGTCAACGATTTTTTGTTTTCACCGGAACCTAACAAACTCCCAGAGGGACTTATTTGTGGGCAGAAAGGTTGGACTAGGAATATTCAAGACATCCTCATTTTTTGGGAGAGCTCACCCAGCCTCATCACTTCTTGACCCAACACGGGGCTGCGGGATCACAGCTGACCATGCCCACACTCTCCTTCGCCCTGAACCCTTCCCAACCACAGCCATCCACGGGAAGCTCAGTTGCAGTGAAAAGGGCAGGAAGTTCCGCAGGAATTCTCTAGATTCACTCAGTCATGGCCTCCTCCTGTCCCGGGACAACCAGGCCTGAGACTCTCAGTCACAGAAGCCAATGGGTTGCATGAACAAGGCCCTGTGAAGTTTCACAGGCAAAGTCAGAGGCTGAGTGAAGCCCAAGGAAATGACTCAGTGAGACTGTAGCCAATGGTGTCACCAGTCAACTGGGCCTCGTATTTTTTTTTCTGTAATACAGCAAACAAGTTTCTAAAATTGAAACTGTACATGAAGACCAGCAAGGGAAGGGACTGCTGGAGGCCTTCAGGCTTTCCTTGTCTTAACCTTGGTGCTTGGAGCTAGAGGCAGCTCGGGAGTAGAGCACCTGCCTGGCATATGCGCAGCTCTGGGTTCCATCCCTGGCATTGCAAAACACACAGCATGGCGCTAGGCAGTCACCAGGCCCCTCAAAAAAGGCAGGTGCACGAGTCAGGATGGTGCCCCCATGGGAAGGAAGCCCACACGATGACCTTCCATGCCAGGGACCCAACCCAGGACTCCTGCGTGTATGGCTTGTGCTCCAACCCTCCGGCAGCCTCCCCCACCCTGGGTCAGAGCTGAAGAGTGCAAACACAGTGACACACTGCCGACCCCCATGGGGTTCAGGGAGAACCTCTGGAGGCCGGAGATGCCCTCTTTCTTGGGCACCTTGTGATGGCTCGTTGGGTGGATGCCCGCCCTCCTCCCCCGTCCACTCTCCATCTCAGGACCCTCAGACTCTGCTGCCCACAGGTCCCTGCAGCTTCCTCCACCAACCGGAGCCAGACGGCTCCAGAGAAGGTGGGTGGCGGTGAGGGCCCACGCTGCTCTTGTCCCCACGCTGCTCTGCATCCAACTGGGCAGAGAGGTGGTGCCGGGGGAAGAGAGGCAGGAGCTGGCCCACTGCAGCCGGGTTGGCTGTGGAAACTCACCCCTGGGAGATCTTGGCCACCTGGATACTTGGGACGCTGTATCCTCTGCCCGAGGCCTCTGACACCACCGTCCACCAGTCCCCGTTCCTGCAAAGAAAAGGGAGGGGGAGGGCCCCTCTTAGAAGTGCCACTGGGCTCTGCAAGGATCCTTTAGGTGCATCCTGGGACCCCTGGCCCTCTGAGCGCCCAGGCCCCACACACCAGGCCATCTAAGTTCCTCCTCCCGGCTCCTGCCAGACCTTCATGGGGTCATAGGTGAGCTTGGAGGGTCCACAGCAGGAGAGAGCAGAGCCCCACCGGGAAAGGACTTACTCAGAGATGATGGTCAGGGGCTCCCCCAGTCTCAACGTCAGCTCTGTCGGCTCACCCACCGGGAAGCTGCCCAGGGCCACGGCGCTGGCTCCACTCCTTCCTGGAAGGAGAGACAGAGCCAGTCATCCCTCCACTGGAGGGTCTGGATCCCACCCTTGCGCATGCAGATAGCTCTTGCACGTCACTTCTACAGGAAAGGGACTCCTGGGTACAATCCTTCTAAGTTATTTCTTTGGGACCCGTGCCTGGTGGTGCTCAGGGCGGTGCCCCGGGCTGTGCTTGGAGAACCATATGTGGTGCTGGGGATGGAACCGCAGTCTGCAGCTTGCAAGGGAAGTGTTCTACCTGCTATAGTATCTGAACCCTTAAGTAATTTTTTTTCTTTTTGGGCCACATCTGGCTATGCTCAGGGGTTGCTCCTGTCTCTGTGCTCAGGAATTACACCTAGTGGTACACAGGGGACCTTATGGGATGTCAGGGATCAAACCTGGGTCAGCCATGTGCAAGATAAGTGTCTTCCCCGCTATACTATTGCCCTGGGCCTCCCTAAGTAATTTCTGTGGTGGCTATACTTGTGCATTAGGGGGACCGCCAGGGCCACACCCAGTGGTGCTCAGGGCCCCCGTGGAACTCACAGTCTCCCACACCCAAGGCATGTGCCCTACTATTTTTTGTTTGTTTTCTTTTTGGTCACACCCAGCAATGCTCAGGGGTTACTCCTGGCTCTGCACTCAGTAATTACTCCTGGCGTTGCTCTGGGGATCATATCGGACGCCGGGGACCAAACCCGGGTCGGCTGTGTGCAAGGCAAACGCCCTTACTTGCTGTGGTTTTGCTCTAACCCTGAGTCCTACTGTTTGAGCCAAGCCCCGCAATCCCTTCATTTATAGGATTTTTTTTTTTGGTTGTTGTTGTTTTTTTTGGGGCCACAACGGCCAGGCTCAGGGTTTACTCCTGGCTCTGTGCTTAAGGGATCACCCCTGGAGGGACTTGAGGGGGATAATGTGGGGTGCTGAGGACCTAACCCGGGTTGACTATATGCAAGGCAGGTGCCCCGCCCACTGTGCAGGTTTTCACAGGTTTTTATAGAGGGATTCTGCTGCTTCGAGAAGTGGGCACCCACGGCCCACAGCAGGGTCAGCATGGGCCTCTGAGCTCTGCTTGTGCGGCACTGCAGAGGCAGGCCTTCTGTCTCCCTGGAGGAGGTGCAGCTGGTCCAGCCGTGTGTGTCGGGTCAGGCCTGACTGGTGCTAGGGGCCCCTGTGGTAGTCATTTCCAGTCAGCCCAATGCCCAGAGGGGACTGTGGTCTAGCCCCGAGGGAGTGAGGTCACAGCTTTCACCATACTCTCAACTTCTACCTCCCCGGGGGTACTGTAAGAGGTGGCCATCAAGACCGAGCCCACACCTGGATGGGGGACACTAGGCCAGTCACTTAACTTCAGAAGGGCCCTGAGCCTCAGATGCTCTAACAGGGAGCCAGGGAACCAGAAACCCCAGGCCCTTCAAGTCACCAGGACTGGTTGTGAGGATGTGGGTCTGTCCCCAGAGGCTGCTGAGGGGATGTAGGACCCGACAGGTGGAGTTGAAGAGATGTGTGGCAACAAGACTGATATCCCCTGGGGACAGGGGGACAATGTATATGTGTGGGGTGTCCACTAGAGGCCAGAGTCTGGTTCTGGGCTGGCGTAGAGACCTCACGGTGACCCCATTCCCGTCTCTCCTCCCGAGTCTCTCAGCCAGCTACCTCAGGGTGAAGGAAAATGCCTGATGTTTGGGAAAAACATCCCAGCATGGCTTGAGGAGGGGTCCTTCAAGGGGGTAGGTCTGGGGCACTGAAGAAAGGGCCCTATCCGTCCCAGATCCCCCATGGCACTGACATGCTGTCTTCTCTTGTTCACTCCCCTTCATTCTTTTCTTTCTTTCTTTTTTTTTTTTTTTTTTTTTTTTTTGCTTTTTTGGTCACACCGGTGATGCTCAGTGGTTACTCCTGGCTCTGCACTCAGGAGCTGCTCCTGGTGGTACTCGGAGGACATATGAGATGCCAGGGATCAAACCCAGGTTATCTGCGTGCAAGACAAATGCCCTCCCTGCTGTATCATCACTCGGGCCTCAATTCTTTTATTTTCCTTTGGAAGTGCTGGGACGGAATCCCCAGCCTCGCACAAGTAAGGCTTGGTGGCCCCGATGACCGGGACTGTACCTTTCTTGTCCTCTCCTATGTTCCCGGGTCCTGTGTCCTCTAGTGCTGGCACAAGGCCTGGTATTTGGTGGCAGCTTGTAGATTGCCCTACCAGGAAGCATGGGGGGGGCACATGACACCCCCAGGCTTGCCTCAAGGTCATCCTCCTGCTGTGATCGGGGGTCTTCCAAGCCAGACCTCCCCTGTGGTGTCTCTGGGAGAGTAGGGATCCCTGCGCCCCTCAGGAGCCACAGGGCAGAAAGCCCCAGGACCCCTGTGCATGGGGTCACCACCATCAGAGCGGGCCCTGGCTCGAAGTAGCTGTCGGGGCAGGCTGGTCGGAGAGGAGAAGGAAGGAGAGGGGAGGGGAGGGGAGGAGAGGAGAGGAGGCTGCTCAGCGCCCAGAGGCTGGCTAAGGAAGACAGCTTCCTCCTGCAATGGGATCGTTAGGGTTCAGGACACAGAAGTCAGTGGGGGCGGGGGGACCCAGTGGAGGTGGGCTCAGTGAGACGGCGGGGGAGGGGGGATCCTTGCCACTGCAGCTGAGTTCCAGTGGGGCCAGCTGCCACCCACATCCCATCACACACACTAGTCTGCAGGGTCCTTCTACTGGCCTGCGTGTTCCTATCCTTCCTCCTCAAAGTGCTGCTGGATTCTGGTGTTGTCCTGTGAGGGGCAGCCGTATGCATCCACAAGGCTGGCCCCAGCTTCAACCCCAGCTTCGATGCTATTGAGAAGCCACTTTTTAGAGGAGAGTCCCGTTTAAAGCAGGAGACTAGGCAGCTGGTACAATGGGGAGGGCGTTTGCCTAGCATGTGGCTGACCCAGGTTCAATCCCAGGTGATCCATATGGTCCCCTGAGCCCGTCAGAAGTGATTCCTGAATGCAGAGCCAGGAGTAAGCCCTGAGTATTGCTGGGTGTGTACCCCCCAGCTCCCAAACAACACAAAAAAAGTAGAGTTGACATAAAGTAGGTTAATTTCCACAACATGGGTGGGGTCTCATCAAATCATCTGAAGATCCTCTGTGGAAGAGCATAGATGGGGTCAGCTGAGGAAATGAAGGTACACACACACACACACACACACACACACACACACACACACAGAGTATTCTGGAGACCCCTGAAAAATATACTACCAAAAAAACAAAAAAACAAAAAACCCAAATCAGTTTGTGATCTGAGAAAGAACTTTGGGAATTTTTTTTTTGTAATCAAAGGCTGTAATTATGACATCAACATATTAATATTCGAAGAGATTTTTGTCCTTTAAGAAAACGGACATTTTTTGTTAGCTTGGAAAATTATGGTTGGGGTCCGAGCAATAGTACAGCAGGTAGGGTGTTTGCTTTGCATGCAGCCGCTCTGGGTTCAATTCCCGCTGCCCCCAGCATCCCATATGGTCCCCCGAGCACTGCCAGGAGTAACTCCTTGGTGCAGAGCCAGGAGTAACCCCTGATCATCATGACCCATAAAACCAAAAACAAAGAAAATTATGGTCAAAAGTTCAACTATGGGGCTGGAAAGATAATACTGGGGTAAAAGTGTTTGCACTGAATGTGCCCTTGATTCCCAGCACAACATAATCCACTACTGTCTGTGTGTGACCCTAAGCACGGCCGGAGGGTCCTAGCAGCAACCCATCCTCAGCAAGTCTCTGGAAAATCCTTGAAAGTTGCCTTTTGGCCTCCTGAGCACCACTTGAGAGGATAAAACCAACTCCTCCCCTCTGCCAACACACACAGATACACACACACTCCACTTCTGCATGGTACGTGTTCATTTTTTCCTTTTTTTTTTTTTTTTTAAGTTTTTGGGTCACACCTGGTTATGTTCAGGGTTTTTTTTTGTTTTTTTTGTTTTTGTTTTTGTTTTGCTTTTTTGGGTCACACCCGGACACGCACAAGGGTTACTCCTGGCTCTGCACTCAGGAATTACCCCTGGCGGTGCTCAAGGGACAATATGGAATGCTGGAAATCAAACCCGGGTCAGCCGTGTGCAAGGCAAATGCCCTACCTGCTGTGCTATCGCTCCAGCCCCCGATGCTCAGGGTTTACTCCTGGGTCTACACTCAGGAATCACTCCTGGTGGGCTGGGGAACCATATGGGTTGCTGGGGACCAAACCCAGGTCAGGCGCGTGGAAGGCAAACACTGTTGTACTATCTCTCCGGTCAATGTCTGAGTTCCCCAGTGGTCATTGCCCTAATTTTGTGGCCAGCGTTTCACAGCATTCCTCAGAAGAGGAGGCCCATTGGAGCATCTCTGTCCCAGAGAATTTCTGCCACGGCAAGAATTTCTGCCACGGCAAGTGTATAACTGTGCTTGCCAACCAAGACATGCAGGGTGAATGTGGTTGACTGAGTTTTCACTTCTTGTATTTCACGCCACACCTAGTGGTGTTCAGGGTCTCGGGCCAGGGGTCAAACCCAGGCCTCCTGCAAATGCATGTGCTCAGTTCTTGGAGCTCTCGCTCCGGTCCCTAAATTTTCACTCATATTTTCCTTTCAAAGGTAAATGGCCACATGTGGCTGGTGGCCATGGCAGTGGCCTGGGCAGCTCTGGGCAGTGGCAGAAGGGTGGGTAAGGCAGAGAATTTTCAACTCAGTCTCCAAACAAATATGCAGAGGAGGAAGGAGGGGTGGAAGAAGCCTGGGGCCTCCCCTGCCCCTCAGGATGGCATCGTGGGCAACCACTGGCATGAAAGAAAGCCAGTGTCTGGAGTGCCCCGTGCAGCCCCCCCCCCCCCGAATACCCTTCCCCCTGCCCTGAGCCCCGACCGTCCCAGTGGAGCCTACCTGCCGCTGGCGCCGGCGCAGGGCCCTGGTCTTGCGCAGAAAGGTTGGAGCTGGCACTCGGCAGCCTTTTTTTCCGGCTGGGCTGACTTCCCATCGCTTCTCAGCAGGACTCTCCAAGGCCCATCGTAGGAGAACCTTGAAGGGGTGCTGCGGTGAGGACCTGCCGGCTCCCCACACTTGCTCCTTTGCACTCAGCCCTGCTGACCTTGTGGGTCAGGGCTTCCCCCTCCCCCTCCGCTCAGGTCCAGCCCCTCCCACTGCCTAGCAGGATCTCTGTGAACTGTTTTTTCTCAAGAACGGGTTTATGAGGGGGGTGGGGGGGATGGGTAGGGGGAGTTTGGCCAAACCTGGCAGTGGTGCTGCTGGGGATCACACTGGGGATCACAAATTTTGTTCTTGGCTTTATGGGTTGTGCTGCTCAGGGGTTACTCCTGGCTCTGCACTAAGGAGTTACTCCTGGCAGTGGTGGGGGGACCATATGGGATGCAGGAGGGAGGGGGGAAGGTGGGGTGGTGGGAATTGAACCTGGGTCAGCTGCATGCAAGGCAAACAACCAACCTGCTTGGGCCCCAACAATAATTTTTTAAGCTGATGAAAAATGTCTGTTTTCTAAAGAACAAAAATTTCTCCGAATATGAAATGCACCTACCTGACACCCTTTGGTTCTGTTTGCAACCCATCCTGCACCCCAGCCCGTGAGGACCCTCCCTCAGGTCTTCTGGGAACCATTTCTGGAACATGGGCACACCTCCTGCCCCTGCGGGCGGGGATGGCCGAAGCTGGCCCTGAGCTGGGGAGGAAGACGGGCTATGACCCAGGGATGACTACGGGGCTGTGGGCAGCTGGGTGGCTCTCGAGTCACTTCCCTTCCCTTGCCTTCAGCTCCTTGTGGGAAATACGGAGAGCCCGACCCCGACGGAGGAGATGAGAGGTGAGGCCCGTGCACGGAGCGCCCAGAGGCTCTCCCAGAGCTTCCTCTGCTCTTGTTCTCCTTCCTCTTGGGGTGGTACCAGCACGAGCAGCTGCTGGCTGGTGAACTCGGCCGTGGCTCCAGCTCCGAGACAAGGCCTCTGGGTTTAGCCCCATTCCCTCACACATTCGCCAAAGGGGCAGCGAGAGTTGGGCCTTTGGACGTGCCTCACCTGTGCCCTGAGTGGCACGGATCCTGCTCTAGGGAAGCCTGTTTGAGGAGGTGGCTTCAATCTTTCTGGGATGTCTTTCTCCTCAGCGGAGAGAAGGCATCAGCTTGAGGGTGGGGGAAAACCCTTGTGGGGTGGGAGACTTGGGGCCACATGCAGAAACCCCGCTCCGGAACGGCAGGGTGACAAAGCAGGCTCTGTCCCAGCCTTGGTGGCCCCTTGCTGGGAAAAGCGGTGCTCAGGGTCAGGGTGGGACATCCATAAGGAAGCCCCTGCTAGAGAGGATGGAGCAGCCATATCTGTGGGGGATGAGTGGCCGCTGTCCTGCACTTTGCAGCGGGGGCCCAGCCCTCCAGCCCCTTGCTGGGAAGGGCTCCCACACAGTCACATCCTCCTCAGGCCTCGGGGCCCTGCATCCTGAGCAGGCTGGAGCCCAGCTGTGCCCAGGAGGGAGTCATTCTCCCCAGTGGGGCCTGTGCTGGTAGCTTTGGGCAAAGAGGGTCACGCTCTGAGTCGCATCTATGAGGCAGGGCTGCCTTTTGCTCCATAGTTGGAGGATGCCAGAGGCTGGTCAGGGTTAAGCTCCCATCCCCTTCCGGCAAATTCATCACGGTCACCACCTTCCCTCACTAAGCCCCGAGAATTCCTCCTGCTGTAGGTGGAGCAGGAAAAGGGGTCCTCCGGCTGCCAGCCCCCAGCTTTCCCTGACCCCTTCACATCTAGCCACGCTCAGGGGTCGCTCCCAGTGGTGCTCAGGGGATCCTGTGGCAGTAGGATTGGACCAGGGCCTTCTTCCTGTAGGCCATGACCGGTTCAGTTCAAAGCTACGTCTCTGGGCCATGACTAAGTTGCAAAGAACCTAGTCACGAATAGCACGAGCGCTGAGCCTCTCTGGGGGAGGATGGGTGCTCCTAGGGGCCCCAGGCAGGAACAGCGGAGGCGCAGAGATAGGGACCCAGGGCTGCTGGGGGATCGGCGCCCTTGACCCTTTGAGGGGCCAGCAAGGTCCAAATCCCGTCAAATACAAGTGAGCAGGGCCGGGAGGACAATCCAGTCCTCCGGGCCCGGTACTGGGGAGTGTGGCTGGGTCCTTCTGTGCTTTAGCTGAGCTCCTCCAGGGCGGAGGTGAGTGTGGTGGGCTAAAGGGATTCTGTTCTCCAGCCCAGACTTCTCTTACCCTCCTAAGGGAAGGCGATGGCCTGGGGAAGGGCGCTGAGTCCCCACAGCCATGCTGGCGACGGAGCTGGGACCAGCATGAAGTCAGGCCGGAGGGGGCCAGTCTGGTGTAGGAGGTGGCATTCAGCACCCGTTTTAGCCTTGAACCACGCTCCCTCACTTGGAGCCCCTCTTCTCGACTCTAAACACTTGCTGGCTCCCCATGTAGAGTTTGAGGGGACCGTCCTTCCTTCCTTGCTGCCCCCAGGCCCTTGGAAAACAAAAGCAAGCACACTTACCAGCTTCCTGTCACCAGAGGTTTCGGGGTGGGCTCAGCAGAGATGCCTGCTCCGGCCAGAGGTGCTGGCTGGGGCTTCGGGGGGCCCCTCCTGGCCTGCCGGTGTCCTTAGCCTGAGGAAGCCCAGAACCTCCTGGATCTGAGAGGACGCCAGGGAGGGGATGGGTGGCACGTGAGCCTGTGGCTGGCAGTCCGGCAGTCTGCACACCTGGTGGGCAGCGGCCCTGTGCTGGGGGCGGCTGGGGCCAGGGAGGTGGCGAGGGGTGCAGAGCAGGGTGGGCCCTCCGTTGCCGAGTCTGCAGGTTTCCTCGCTCACATCTGCTGCTCTGTGGTTCTCACAACCACCCGTTTCCTCTGACAGCCTCACGCTCCGTGGAGGAGCCACCTTCCCCAAGTTCCGGTTTCTGGGGAGCAGCAGCTGCCGTGTCATGATCCTGGACGGAAAGGGTCCCACCCCCACTCCAGGCCTGGGCTGGCCCCAGGAATACAGAGCTCAGTTACTGAGCGAACCAACGAGGGGCGTTTCTGAGCTTGCCTCATCCGAGCCAGCACCCGAGGGATGGGTCACCCTCTGCCTCCCAGGTCACAGTCACTAGAGAGGCAACCCAGCATTCCCAAGAGATTCCTCTTTATTTGGGGCCACTCCCAGCGGGCCTGGGGCTCATCCACAGGTCAAGCATTCAATCCTATTTTTTTTTTAATAAGTAAAAACAGATTTTTTTTTTTTTGCTTTTTGGGTCACATCCGGCGATGCACAGGGGTTACTCCTGGCTCTTCTGGAATTACTCCTGGCGGTGCTCGGGGGACCATATGGGATGCTGGAAATCGAACCCGGGTCGGCTGCGTGCAAGGCAAATGCCCTATCCACTGTGCTATCGCTCCAGCCCCAGTAAAAACAGATTTTATTTGAAAGTTTTCAGGTATGAGGGGGGAGAGAGGAAATAACATGCTCAAGAGAGAACGCAGGTTTATCCAGAGTGGAGGGGTGGGGGCCAGTACATATCCCACTGTTAAAGTAGGAAAGCACACATCTCAAGAGGGGAGATGGAGGCAACACGTGTGCTCAGGCACCACACATGCTGGGCAGCAACACATATGCTCGGGCACCATACGTGCCAGGCAACAACACAGGTGGTTCGGGCATCATACACGCTGGGCAGCATCACGTGTGCTTGGGTATCACACGCACTGGCAGCAACACAGGTGCTCTGCCAGCTGATGCACTTTGTTCCCGTCCTTTGAGCCACCTCCCTGGCCCCACTGACATTCCCTGAAACGCTGGGATTTGGAGGGAGTATGTCCACCTCTGAGGTAGGTGGGAATCCTTGGGATCTTATTCAACTACAGATTCTGGTCCAGTGGGCCTGGTGACGAGGGGGCAGGGGCACAGGGGTCTGCATGCCCTATTCATAGGTGAGGCCCAGTTCCTTGGGATGAAGATCCGACTTCGAGTTCTCCCATGCTGGAGAGCAGACCAACAGCCCAACATTCCTGGGAGCTTATTCAATATGCAAGTTTAAAGGCCCCATCTCTGAGGTACTCACTGGGAAACCCCAGGGCGCCCCCAGGTGGTGGGCCTGCTTGTCCCAGGGTGATGGTGCCATGCTTCAAGCTCCATCACCTGTCTAGGATCAAGAACGGCATAGAAGGGCTGGAGCTATAGTACAGTGGGTAGGGGCACTTGCTGTATATGTAGCCAACCCGACCCCCCAAATAGTTCCCCAAGCCCCACCGGGAGTAATCCCTGAGTGTAGCGCCAGGATTAACCCCTGAGAACAGCAGGGTGTAGCCCCCCAAAAAATGAAAAACAAAGGAATTTTACAGAACTGCCTATTTGGTATCATTCCAAACTCAAGCAAGAGACTGGAGAGAGTACAGCGGATAAGTGCTTGCCTTGCATGTGGCTGACCCAGGTTTGATCCCCAGCAACTCATATGGTCCCCTGAGCACCATCAGGAATGATTCCTGAGTGCAGAGCCAGGATGTGGCTCAAAAGCAACACCCCACAACAGGAACAAACCTTAAATGGAGTCAGAGATGGTACAGCGGGTAAGGTGTTTGTCTTGCATGTGGTTGGCCCCGGTTTTATCCCCGATACCACAGATTGTCCCCCAACCTCTGACAGTGACCTCTGAAAACAGCAAGCCCTGAGCACCACCGGGTCTTGGACCACTCATAACTAATCCGCCATGCAGAAAGTCAATCAATCCTAGGTTCATTCCTACTGGAATAACTACACCAACCTTGCTATTTCTGGTGACTGCAGCTTTTTAGCCTAAAACCATCCAGAGTCAAAAGGTGGCTTTTGATTCCAACTCAGACTGGAACTCACCAGGGAGATGGGTTAGGGATTTCACCTACAGGCACTTAGCGTGGAGAGCCAAAGATGGCAGAAGCACATCCTCTGCAAGAAAGTTCCAGTGATGAATCAGAACAGGGCACTCAGGAACGTAGCTACGGTGAGGGAATGGCACAGGATGCCCTAGCTCCTGCTCCATAACT